TGAATTTCCTAAAAATGACAGAGGTCTGTGTTCTTTTACTCATTCTCATTAGAATATCATTCAGTCTAGTCAAGCAGTGTCCAAATTTTTATCTGCAGTTTGGTTTCTTGTATGCATGTGAGTGTTGGTACTGATAAAAATTGTATATGATTTTGGAAATGTTTGGAACAGGCATTCAGTGTATACAGTTTTAATACATATTTATCATTGTTGGTTGTAGAAGGGGAGGGTGTCACGGGTATCACGATTCCATGAGGAGCTGGAGTCGGTCATGAGTCTCATGCCTATTGCCAGTTCTCCTCTGGACAAAGACGTCCCTCTCAGCCGAGCCATGGAGTCCAGCACCAGTCCTATCACAGAGATGGAGCAAGGCAGAACAAGCAGTGCTGAGTTCCTGGATCGTGACCCTAATGACCTGGAAGAGGAAGATGGACCTGTCAAGCTTCTGGGTGACTCGGATGAAGTGGAGGAAATCTTCACTCTTCAAGAGGATTTAGATTTAGAACAAATTGAAACAAATTAACTGTTGTCTGTCCTAGCATCTTTTCTGTCTTTCTTTTAAATTGGAAATGTTAAAAATACTTTTTTTTCTGATTGTACATTCTATAGTGTTTTGAATTTTACACATGGGGAGAACTAATTGCATCTTTTTCTTTATTCTGTACAAAATGTTTCCGTCCAAGTAATTTTAAAATAACATTGCAATTTGAATAACATTGCATTGATAATAAACCTGGACATGTATGTTCATTTTTTTTTTTTCAATGTGGATATACATACATGAAAGTGAAAGTATATCATTTCGTAAATGCTTTAGATTATTAAAAGAATTTTTTGTACATGTATATATACCTCAGTGACATCAAATTCATTGCATTTATGAATAATATCTTGATCAGTTTAGAAATGTTTGAAATCACATGTAGCTGTTGGGAACATTCCAGTCATAAACAATTACATATTTTCATCATTGTGAATACAACATTTTACTTAAAAAAAGAAAAAAGAAAAAATTACATAAACTCAAATTCATATCCTGGGTAAATTCATCTTAGTGAATTTTTATTGAATTAAATTTTGCAATGAAGAGCTACTTGTAAACATGGTAAAATTGATGAGCTGTGAAATATCTTATCTTAATTCAGCATATATCTTAGAATTGAACTCCCACAAATATGCCTGTCTCATTTCTATTTATTACTTTTACTTATGTATTTAATATATACATGTATAATGGCATTTAATGTCAACTTAAGTCCTTCATTTTTAGCAATTTCTACAAGATGAAAGTGTTGAAATCCACTTGATAATTATGACTCAATGCAAATGACTGGACAATTGGACTTGTAATGATATCTTTCTTTTGATAAGGTATAAGATTCATACTTATGTTAGATTTTGCTAGAATTTTGCCTAATTAGATCAAACTTTGCTTGATTTCCCGTTATTGAAGCCATGAACCAATAAAGTTTGTATACCGGGTAATATTTTATTTAGTCTTAATTCAGAAGTTTTTGCATACCGGTATATTAAGCTAGATACATGTAGGATAAAATGTGAATTTCTTGGATTTTTTAAATAAAGTACCTAGATTTTGTAATTCCCCCCTTTATCAACACAACATGAAGTCAACTATTTATTCTTTTTTAACTTTTGATATTTTGTTACTCATCGTTGAGAAAATGGTGAAATTAATGGCATATCAATTTATGAAGTCTTTGTTATTCAATGTCTTATGAACAAATGGCATATTCATTTTTCATATCAATACATTTTTACATTTTGTGGTACATTTTTTTTCATCTTGTTTTTTTTTTTTAGAAAGCAAAGTTTTTAAAAAACAGAACATTCATTGTCAATTTAATTATAGAAGCTAGTCTGGGTGTAAAGTACAATGTATATTCTGATCAAATCCCAAATTATTGTGTGACAGAAAAGGAAAGAATTGGTGAAGAATATAACACATATAATGTACTGAAATACACAATGAAATCTAAAAAAATGTTATTTATATATTTAGAACTAATTAACTAGATGGGATCAATATGGAAAGCATACAGAAACAGGACTAAGTAATTGATTTTATTGACAGATACATTCAGGGATAATTGTGTCAAAATTAGCCAAGTAGATTGGCGTCAAATTTATTGCTGTAGCATTTCCCTTGCTTTGAGTAAGGTTTGTTTTTTAATTCATCTACATATTGTACACTGGATATTCATGTATAGAAACAGAACAAAGCTGTATATCGACTTCCCAGTCACCATACAGATGCTGAAGTGTGTTACTGTGTGTCATAATTAGAGAGAGACACATTTTGATTCAAATCATGGCATTGTTAAATTTATGTGGTTAATAAATGAAAATTTATTCTGTTTTTGTGTTCTGAGTCAAACAAATGGTCTTTAAGCTGTTAGCGATGTTCCTGACTTAGGGGTGCATTTCCCCCCTGAAATTAATGTAAATATTGAGAGGTAATGTTTACATTGCATTGTGGAAATTTCAATTTACATTATCATATACCGGTAATAGATGTACACAGGAGGCTTCTCATTTTTTTTTCAGACATTTCTTTCCATTAGAGAGCTCACTGAATAATCCTTCAATTTAATCTTGCATTTGCATCATGCTGGTTTAGTTCAATGGAAGAGTCCTACTGATCATTATATTCTGAAAAGAGAACATTGATTTAATTCAACTATATTTTCACTCGGCATGACATCACATCCTTTGTGCTTTTCCCTGAAAGTATCCTACCCTGGAGAGAAATAAAGTACGATGTCCTTTGATCTTGCATGGTGAAGATGGAACATTGTTTACATTGTGTAATATGAATAGGACCAGTGAGCTTTTCTTATCAAAATTTGTCCATTGTCTTGTCATTGACTTAAACCTTTCACAATTTCTTCTCCTTTGGACCAATTTTAACCAAACTTGGCACAGAGTATCCTTGGGTAAAGTGGATTCAAGTTTTTTCAAATAAGGGCCAACCTCTTCCAAGGGGAGGTAACTAAGAAATAGTGAAAATTGGGGGGGGGGGGTGTATTTAAAAATCTTTCAAGAACCAGTGGGCTGGAAAAGATACAACTTATGTGAAAGCTTCTTAACATAATGTAGATTCAAGTTCGTCCAAATCATGACCCTCAGGGGCAGGGACCACAATGTGTGATCAAAGTTTTACATAGAAATATATATTAGGAAATATCTTTAAAAATCTTCTTCTCAAGAAAAGCAAAGCCATGATTGAAGCATCCTAAGTAAGTAGATTCAAGATTGTTCAAACTATAACCCTCAATGGTAGGTTGGGGCCACATGGGGGGATCAAAATTTCACATAGGAATTTGCAGGAAAATATCTTAAGTTTAAAAATCTTCAGAAGAACAGCAAAACCATGATCTTTATATGAAAGCAACCTCAGGTGGTTCAGATTCAGTTTTGTTCAAATCATAACCCCCAGGGGTATGGTGAGGCCACAATGGGGGATTAAAAAAAATCTCTAAATTTTTTTCCCAATCTGTTCAAGAACAGCAAAGTTATTTGCTATATTGATAAGGAGGCATCCTCAAGTAGTATAAAATTCAAATTAAAACTTTGATAATAATATTTTACCCACTATAAGGACTAAGGATCCTCAAATCTTGACAGTTGATGAATCATTTGACCTCATGTCACATTGACTCAAAAGTAGGTCACACTGACCTATATTTTGAATTTCCTAAATTCTTGAAGAAGGGAGGGCATTATTGCTGTTTCCATTCATTTTCTTTTCTTTGCAGAGGTTGAACATATTGAAATGAAATTTGGTATGCAAATTTCATCATGGAATATTTAGGAAGCAATGTGAAATGGGGGATTTTTGACACAGTTATGCCCCTTGAAGACAAAATTCTAACCTATAAAAAAAACTTTGTTTATTTTCTTTGCAACTTTGGTATACAGATTTATCATAAGAATATCATGAAAATCCTGTTTTGGGTAGGGGATCTGGCAATTTTTAAAAATATATCATGTTTCAATTATGATTTTGAAGATATCCACAAATGATTGAAAAAATTTGCAGTTTACAAAATTTCAGGTTACAAAGTGTGTAAACAAAAAAGGAGATCAAAACAAAATTATCTAACCTACAAAAAAAATTTCAAGGCAAATGTGTCTATTTCAAAACATTTAAATTATTTTGTGGGTGAGAGGTTTTGACACCAAATATTTTTTTTCCCATTACTATCAATTTCCTTTTGTTTGACCTAACCTGCATGTAACTTTTGAAAGCAAGGAGGCCCTACACCACAATGCCCACATGACTATATTTTTTTCTTTGCAAAAAAGTGCTGTTCTTCACTACCCCCCCCCCCCCCCCCCCCTTGTAATATCCATTGAGGCCCTATTCTACCCCAGGGTCATGATTTGAACAAATTAGAATCTACATTATACACCTGCCAGGATGCTATATCCCTTGGATTTAGAAAAATTCCAATTATTGGGGGAGGGGGGCACAAGTGTTTTACAAACTTCTTGTTTCAAATGATTTTGATGCATATCTTAGCAAATGATTGCTGTAAAAATTGGCAGTTTAGGCATCACAAAGTGTGTAAACCAAAAAGGAGATCATCATAATTATCTACTGATGAAATTTCAAGGCAAGTCATTTCAAAACATTTAATTACTTCAGATACTGAGAGGTTTTGAATCATCATATCTTGTAAATTGATGCATCATGAAACCTTGGATCATATTTATGAAACAAGAGGCCCATGGGCCACAATGCCCACATGACTATGTATATTGGAAACTTAGGCCCCATTCACTGGGTCATGATTAGAACAAATTAGAATCCACATTATACCCCTGCTAGGATGCTTTCACATAGCTATCATCTTTTCCGGTCCAGTGGTTCTTGAGAAGATTTTTTAATGACCCCTACCAATTTTTGTCTTTTCTTTATTATATCTCCCTTTGGAAGGGGACTTGACCTTTTATTTTAATATTTTTCACTCCCTTTCTCCCAAGGTAGTTCTTGAGAAGTTGAAAATGTGAAGTTAATGGATGAACGGAGACAAGAGATGATAGAATAGCTAACTTGAGTTTTCAGCTCAGGTAAGCTAAAAAGTGTTAAGTCCATTCAAAACTTTTGTCATTATAGGTTACACTACTCCTATCTATGGAAAATGTCAAATATTTGCACACTTACAACATGAATGACAGTACACACTGTGGAGTACTACTTGATTCAGGAATTGTGTATATTAAAGATCAGTTCAATTATTTAAGTTTATCTTGTAAGCAATTACCGGTGCAGGATTAATGAAAAGGAAATATTGGTTTAGAAAGTGAAAATGTATAGTGTATTATATAAGAACCAAATTACAGATCTTTGAACAATTGAATCGCATTCAAACACCAGTGGAAGTGCTTTTTAAAAAGTAAACCTTGAATGGATACATAATTTTGCTCGAGATTTCCACTGCAGTTCTCTTTATGCTTAATTTCATTGGATCCAGTCTTGAATTCCATCTGTCATCGAGTGTATTTGAATAATTTAAATTCAGTTCAGGTACTCCAAGAAGTACTTTTACAGACTGAGGTTAAATGCTAGTTCAAGCTACATTCCAGACTTTAATATGAGCTTGCATTATGTTCAAAAAATCTTGTTTCAAGATCAAGGTGTCCATGCATTGTCACAAACCAAGGCCTTTTGTAGGATCCCCTCCCATTCTGGAGAGAGCTATATGTGGACTCCAGACCATGGCTTGAGATGATGGGGTTCATGATGTTCTTCATTTTCAAGTTAGAAAAATAAATGCTCAAATGTAGATGGTTCACCTTTCAACTTCTGCTTAATCAAGATTGTATTCTCAATTCAATATTGTTTGCTTCATTCATTGAAAAGGAGGGATCCCATTTTGAAATATTTAATCAACTTTTGAGCTAAAATTCTGTTCGTTATCTCATTATCCCATCCAAAGTACAGATATCCAAGTTCTACAACATTTTAACGAATACACAAGATCATCTCTCTGGAGGAGGCACAATGTAGGGATGAAACATCAATCAGATGCAAACAAAATAATCAGCAACAAATTTCAATTAGTATTTTTTTTATTTTTAAATGTTTAATCTCTTGACCTAGGTCTATGCAATTTTTAAATTACAATTTAACAGTAAAAAAAGCAAATAAATGGTTGCAGAAACACAATGAAGTCTACTTGTTTTAAGACCCTTTTTTGTTAATATCAAACTATCATACACAGAAGCTGGGATCATCAGGTTTGCAGTACTTTAAGTGATTTACAGCAAAGCAGATATGTGTGCTTAAAAAAATCTTAATCTTAACACTCAAGAAAATTCATCACAAATCTAACAATTTTAAAATTGAAATAATCATAAAAATCCTCCTTCTTCAGACAATGAAAAACATGAACACTTTAAAAGTTTTTGCTTAGAAAGTAGAAACCATTTACAAGTGTTAAGTTATTTATATATTGAAGGTTATGTGTGTGCTGGTACATTTCAAAAATTCAAAGAAAATTAGAGCAATTCTTAAAACATTATGTCATGGAATCCATTAGTTCATAATAACTACAAACTTCCAATATGTAAATTTGCCCTATATTCAAAACACTGAACATTTATTTATATTTACTCCTCTTTTAACACTTAACACTAATATTTTCATGTGCTTGATCAATGAAAAATTATATAACCAATTTGACATATACTTGATGTACTTTTTAATTTAATAGAAAAAAGAAGACAAAATACTTTTAAATTAGTAGAAGTTGTAATCTCATTAAGGATAAATAGTACAAGTAAATATCAATAGGAACAGAATGTAAACATTTAGCTATAATCACTGATGGGATTCAAGGATAAAGACACAGAGCATTGCCTAAATGCTTTATTAACATGCATGATCTTGTTAGAGCTGCAACAACTTTTTCTGACTATCAAGAACATTATCACATAAAAATAAATATTGCACATCATATGATAAAACAATTGTTTTACTTGGCAGTAAATACTGTACAAATAAGTAAAACACTAAATGCTGATAGAAATGTAAATTCCAGGGCAATTCTTTTATTCCCACAAACAAACACACAGCAGTGGATTAATGTTTTCTTTCATATTTTAAAACAAAGCAATTCTGATTCATATTTGAGACATTTTCTTGAGCAACTCATAGTTTATAATTGCTCATACATTATTGGGGGGGGGGGGGTTGCATTTTATATTTACTGTAGCAACTCTCTGGGATATAGGACATACTTTTGATAGATATGTGATTTGATTGGGACCATGATTAATGCAAGAAAAATCTTTCAAATGGGAATTCCTGGGATACAGATATGGCACCAAAATAAAGGGATAAGCTGTGAACTCTGTAAGTTTTCTATAAATTATCTTAGATGGTATAAATACATGTACACTCTATATGCATGTCTAGCCTTTTTCAACCAGGTACAAATATTTACAAAGAAACCTTTAAAGTACATGTATTAGCACTATTTTTTTTCTGGTCACCTAAAGTGACAATAGAAAAAAAGAAAAACATCAAATGGAAAATATTAATGGGGAAAGAGGTCACAAGGCCATCTTAGGAAACTGCTTTGGTGAAAATTTTTCCTGATGCTCAGAAGAAGTCTGATGCTCTAGGTTTGTACTTATAACAAAGGACGAAAAAAGAAGCCATTGCCATCATACCACAACTGTAGAAGGAGTTTTTAAAGGAATTTCACAGACATTTCTATTTTTAGTAACAATGGCAACACTATTCATCAAAATCAAAAACCGATGCACTATTTTATATATCTTAGTGTAGTCTATTTGTTTGCCAAGTTATATTGCAATCAGACCAAAACTGTAGGAGGAGTAATGTTTTAAAGGAATTTCACATGAAATACTTTTTTTAGTAACCATGGCAACACCGTCATTGAAATCAAAATCCGATGCATTATTCTATGTGATCTTTGTAGACTACTTGTGTGCCAAGTTATACTGAAATCAGACCGAAACTGTAGGAGGAGTAAATTTTTAAAGGAATTTCACAGAAAATTCTATTTTAGTAACAATGGCAACACCGTTCAACGAAATCAAAAACCGATGCACTATTTTATGTATCTTAGTGTAGTCTATTGTGTGCCATGTTATATTGAAATCAGATCAAAATTGTAGGAGGAGTAGCATTTTAAAGGAATTTCACAGAAAATTCTATTATTAGTTACCATGGCAACACCGTTCATCGAAATCAAAAACCGATGCACTATTTAATGTACCTTAGTGTAGTCTATTTGTGTGCCAAGTTATATTGAAATCAGATCAAAATTATAGGAGGAGTAGCGTTTTAAAGGAATTTCACACAAAATTCTATTTTTAGTAACCATGGCAACACCGTTCATCGAAATCAAAATCCGATGCACTATTTTATGTATCTTTGTGTAGTCACTTGTATGCCAAGTTATATTAAAATCAGACTGTAGGAGGAGTAGCGTTTTGAAAATGGACAGACAGACAGACAGACGGACGGACGACGGACACCTTACTATCGCATAAGCTCTTCTGGTCTCTGACCAGTAGAGCTAAAAAAGGAGAAAAAAGACACTGTTTTGTGCCACGTACTCATCAGTCTACATTATAGCACCTTAACATGCTTTATTCAGTCAGCATTGATATCAGTGTGTAGTCTACAGCTTATCAAGACCACTAATTCAGTGTGAATTGTTAACATTATAAGTTACCTCTCAGAAAATAAAGTTACATCTGTATTGACAGCAAAGATTTCACATATTTACAAACTAATCTGCCTACAATTCCTACACGGAGTTGAGACTTAGCTTAACTTCTAACTACACCTACTTTTAAGTACAATATTTATATTTATACACTTGAGTATTATCACAGTTCGTGACCCTGGTACACACTGCTTATAGAAATTCTTGGTTAAAATGGAAAGGCAGACAAACCTGAAATACATCACCCAGAAAATGAGCTTTACTTTCCCCCTCCCACTAATTATATTCAATTTCTGGAAAAATAATTCTTGATATGACGCTGTTCCTCTGAGAAAATTGTGTTTAGATTTTGTTTTAATTCTGCAGTAAAAGCACTGATCATCATGTCTTTTATATATATGTATTAACTCTGGGATTCTTGAGATTCCCTAAAAGTGGGACTTCTTGACTTGATGCTCTGATGACGATTCTGATGGCTGACCGTTAACGGACTTCCTATCAGCTTGTGCAGTGTAAGTTTGGGGATCCTGGGATTTTATGTCGGGCTACACAGCAGATGCTTTGGGATTTGTTGAAATGGCTACTAAGGCTGCAATTGTTATAGACACACGTATAATACCACTCTCATCCAAAATGTCTTGTGAACTACAGATCTGCTCCTAAGAATTAAAGAAAAAGCATACATTAAATCCCCAAAATGGCAATTATGATTAAATATTCATAAGGTCTCAAGATATTAATAAAACTGTTGTCAGTGTTTAATCAGAATCTATCTGATACCAAATCTCTGCATCAACAACATATTGGCAAAAACTGAAAATTAATTCTTCCTTCATATTTTGTTACAAGTAGCTTTTGAAAATTTTGAACATACTACATGTGTTATCCATTTATTTAAGCATGTTAAAAAAAGTCATATACAACTTTGACATAGGTTACATTGCACAAAAATCACAGCTGCTTTCAACTACTGACAGAGTTTAAACAGATTCTTTGGAGGCATAAAATGCTTGGGCTACAAGCAAATCACAGTAAAACAAAATATATACATGTACGAACTAGTCTTGACAGACTATTAAATACACATACAGGGTGTTTCATAATATATGTTACATTTTGAATCATTAGTTTGACAAAAACAAGAAAAAGATATAGATGAGTCTTTATATCAAATTAATGCATGTATCCATAAGATTCATTATGTTTAATTACAAATCAAAATATTAAACTCTGAACAAAATCTTACACATTAATGAAAATTAGCGAAATTTCCAAGTTGCGTCATTTTTTACTTAACTACGATGTATTTCACGTCAACAGGTCACATTACATGTTCTATATCTCTATTTTTTCAACAACAAATGAAAGTTGCTTCTAAAGATTATAGCCTAGTCACATATTTTTGCTTAGACAATCCTCATTTGAAGGTCTATGTTCTCTCAATCAGTATCTGTGGTCTAGGATTGTAGACCTTGTTCTTTAAGAACCCCTGCACCCAAATATTGAGATTGTCAAATGCAAAGGTCATCTTTCCTTGCATTATCGAAAATGTGTACAACAACTTCAAACCATATTTCAAAGTTAAATGTATGCTGAAAATGCTGATAATGACAGCATCAATTTCTGAAAATATCTACATCTATCAGACATATCAGAAGTTTGCAACACTAAGAGTCTCCATTTCACAAAATAAATCTCCGTTTCTTTTAAAGTCTTTAGGCTTACTGGAATACCGTGTCATTTATCCCATATATTGCCTGTCCCTGTCCTTTAACCTTGCTACTAGCCTTCTGATAGGCATCCTAGAAAGCTTACTATTCTTTTGCAAAATTTATTTCATTAACTTCTGAATCAATTTTGGCGATATTAATTGAAAAAAAAAAAACAGCTTTAAAATTCAAGACTGAGTTGATATAATTTAAGTCCATTTAAAAAATATTCAAATTATGGCAACCGCGTTTATATCACAATTAATCATTGTAAGACCACGATTTCCATGACTTTTTCACATGGAACGAAAATGCAGAATTTGATGTTTAAAATGATATATAGTTTTTAATAGAAGTATAATAGGTAAGAGAAATAATTAGATTTAAAAATGTAACATATATTATGAAACACCCTGTATAATATAAACCATGAAAAATTAAAAACCATTACTTTTTTTCTTAATGTAATCAACTATGCATTGATATATTGCCTTATTGCCAAGTTATAGACTCACCTCATAATCATACTAAGTCAAATTATTGTCTTACACACCCTTATCATACTCAATATTAAGTTCACAGCATAATCATACTAGTAAGTCAACTTATTGTCTTGCACACCCCAAACATACTCAATATAAGTTATAAACTCACATCATAATCATACGAGTAAGTCAATGTTGTCTTCCACACCCTAATCTAAATCATACTCAATATTACATTTACACTGTAATTATTATAGTCAGTATTCAGTTCATCTTGGCTAGTCAAGGGTGTCTGATATGCTACTCTCCTCATAAGCCCTTGGCATACAGTGCTGAAAGGACAGGAGTGTTTTCTTCAGATGATTTAAAATTTTGAACAGGTATGCATAAATTGCATCATCAACAGAAATAAATAACGTATTTAATGTTAAACCAAGAAAGTTTTTATAGAATAATTAACAAGGAGGTATTGATTTTTCATTTGTTATTTAAATTGCAAATCTAAACATCTTCAATGTAGATTCTAATTCATATTTTGCTCATATCTTAAGATTTTGGAGGACATCATATCTATTCATAGAATAATATGTGATTGTTGTTTACTTGTGTTTTTCATTCCCAAGATAAAGAGCCAAAATATGTCCCAAAGGCAGATATCATAATTTACAAAAAACAATTGCTGACTGCTCGAGTGGTGTCAATCGACTACAATCAGAACTTGAGAAAAAAAATCCCAACTTTTTTTAACAGCATATGCCAAGGGCTTATGAGGAGAGTAGCGTACAAGAAACCCTTGGCTAGCCAAGATGTATTCAGTTTTGCCTTTTACACTGTAATCAGACTCAATACATACTTATTTTCATATGTACAATGTAATCATACAAATTACAGCAGTGTTTCCTCTTTAGTTACATTATAATCATAGATACAGATTAATTGCCCTTTTAAATGTTATCTTACTTTGTACAGATTTATTGCTTTACACATAAATTACATGAACACACAAAAGAACAAATTCTTCTTCAGTTATCACAATTATTTAGGAAGAGAGTATGAATCTAGATTACACAGCAGCCAATAATAAATCTCAAAATATAAAAATTAAATGAAAATTGCTTCAGCTTCAGCAGTTCTGAAAAGTACTTGTTGTTTTCAATACTGAAATGGGCTAATTAATGATTGTGCTTATCAGTTTAAGATGAGAACAGCACTAATTTTGAATACATGCACAAATATTGTTATAAACATCTTATTTGTACAGAAAATTAAAAAATAGACATGTTATCAATGACAATGTGCAAACAGCAGTAAAGGTTAAGATTGTGAAAATACAAATGCGAGTTGAATTGTCTTTGAACATGCAAGTTCTTTTAACATGCAAGTCGTTAAAAAAGTAATTGGCACCATTGAACAAACATTAAAATTAAACATTCAAACTTTCACCTATTATATAATTAAAGAACACAGACTTTGGACTATCCAACTATTAGTAAGATAGATTGGCAGTTCATGCAAGAAAATTTAGTGCAGAAAACGTAGAACTTTAAAGCTCTACAATAACAAATGCTAGAACATGTAATTATTTCATAAAACACCATGCCCTTCACAATAAATCAACCACCCGACCCTGGAGCCATAAAACTTAGGCTAGCTCACTTCTGATCTCAATCTCACTTTTCCTACTGTAAATTCCTTTCGTAAAAGTGAGACTAAGATCAAAAGTGAGCTTGTCTTAAGTTTTATGGCCCAAGAGCCAGAGGCACACAGGCATTTGGTCATGTATTATGCATTTAGACACTGAAATTAGTGTAGCATCAATATCACAAAGATTAGCTTGAGTGCATCACAGATATCCTAAAATCACAGCGGTACAGGTAGCTAGAAAGACAATAAAACATAGTTTGGCCACAGCAAAGTCTCGTGGGGTTAGTCTTGGACACAGATCTAAGTGTTGCACAGTAACTGAGACACGAGCTGGCCTTAGCTCTTCTGTTATATCATCACATGCACAAAGGAACTCCTGTAACGAGTTACACAACAAATGTCATTTCTCGGACACAAATAGATATACAGTATTTGTAGGAATTTATTCAAACATAGGTAATCAGAGATTACAGAGCTCACCTCAACGAATGTTGTCTTTAAGTAAGGCAAAGTCACACAATTAACCAACAAAAAGTGTACATTCCAAAAATGAAAATATTTAAGCAATTTTGATCTGATACTTTGAAATAGACCTACATAAACAATTTAAACTAGTTCTTCTTCATGAAAATGTAATCAAAATCCAGCATCTGAAGCAAATTTGAGAATTTTCATCTCTTGATGAAAACTTTAACCTGTTCACTCAACCGCAAAATGTAGGTCAGATTCAGCATCCGAAGCAAGCCTGGTAGTGTGCATCCTTAGATGTATCATCCATGCAAGTTTGGTCAACATACGGCTTATAGTTACTTGGAAATGAAACCTGCACCAAAAACTTCAACCTGTTCACTCAACCACAAAATGTAGGTCAGATTCAGCATCCGAAGCAAGCCCGGTAGTATGCATCCTTAGATGTATCATCCATGCAAGTTTGGTCAACATAGGTCTCATAGTTACTTGGAAATGAAACCTACACCAAAAACTTTAACCTGTTCACTCAACTGGAAAATGTAGGTCAGATTCAGCATCCGAAGCAAGCCCGGTAGTATGCATCCTTAGATGTATCATCCATGCAAGTTTGGTCAACATAGGGCTTATAGTTACTTGGAAATGAGACCTGCACCAAAAACTTTAACCTGTTCACTCAACTGGAAAATGTAGGTCAGATTCAGCATCCGAAGCAAGCCCGGTAGTATCCATCCTTAGATGTATCATCCATGCAAGTTTGGTCAACATAGGGCTTATAGTTACTTGGCAATGAGACCTGCACCAAAAACTTTAACCTGTTCACTCAACCGGAAAATGTAGGTCAGATTCAGCATCTGAAGCAAGCCCGGTTGTATGCATCCTTAGATGTATCAACCATGCAAGTTTGGTCAACGTAGGTCTCACAGTTACTTGGAAATGAAACCTGCATCAAAAACTTTAACCTGTTCACTCAACTGGAAAATGTAGGTCAGATTCAGCATCCGAAGCAAGCCAGGTAGTATCCATCTTAAGATGTATCATCCATGCAAGTTTGGTCAACATAGGGATTATAGTTACTTGGAAATGAAACCTACACCAAAAACTGCACCAAAAATGTTAACCTGCTCCAAAAACATTAACCTGGTCATTCCTTTGCTGAAATTGCAGCATCTGAAACTTTGACTGGTACGATGAAACACACTAGAACCATCTTCCATGCATGTCTAATCAATATAGGACATAGAAGTACTTAAAAAGAAAACTGCTCCAAAAAACTTAACCTTAACCTGGGACGCCGACGCCGAGGGTATTACATAAGCTCCCCCAACTTCGTTGAGGTGAGCTAAAAATAGTTCTTTTATAAAGTTAACATAATTTGTCATAACTTCAAAAAAAATTTTGATAAATTATTTGGTAAATAAATCATGTACATGTATCATCTTAAAAGTAATATTGTGTTAGATTATTTATTTAAATATATTATTAAATAATGTATGGTATATAGATGTATAATTACTTCCAAACAGAGTTAATCATGCTCTAAGAAATTAAATGAAACTCATAATACATGCTCTGTTAAAACAAATACTGTGCAACACTCAGTCTCTATACTCAACTTTCCATTAAATTTTATTATCTGGAGTAAAATATATTGTCTACATCCAAGATAACGGAATTTTCCCTGCTCACCAGGAATTTTAGACTACAAGTCCTTTCACAATAACCGCAGTGCAACTTTTTTTACAGGGCAAATTAAAAATGCTTGGTGAAGTTTTTGTTGATAGATGAATTAAATGACGTAAATAAACCAATTGATTTTATACATATTTCAAAATGTATCGCTCCACCCTGCAACAGATAAGTAATACAGTTACTGTGAAGGGGCTCATTAAGGAGAAAAACCATTGATATCACAACTCTTCATAAAAATTTTTCATCATGACATCTCCATAGAAAAGTGACCAAAATGATCTTTGAACATCCTCAGACTGAACATGTTTAATGCAGTTTTTTCATTTCTCAAAAATTTATATAAAATTAATGAAAAATATTTCTTATAATTACCGGAAATATTTATATCGCAAAACACTTCCATTAGTTAACATTAAAAGCAATGAATAACAATTTCATTAATCTCCTTTTAATGTCCTTCCCATTAGCTACATGTATGTTGTATTACTGCCCTCTGATCTCCACACAGAGGTGGAAGAAGATTTTTAGGAACAAATTTACAATTAATTTTATTTAAAACATTTTTTTATAATTAAAAAAAGAATACATATTTACATTAGATTTAAAGATAAAGACATCAAAGATATGGTATCTTTACTTCCACAGGGATACAGGGATAGATGTCAACATTTGACAGGGGATCCAAGTAGACCTCAGTAGGTAAAGGTATTTTTAGTAATGAAAATTAGAACTACTTTTGGCAAAGAAAACTGGCCTGTATTTAAAAAATTTCAGTACAGTAATGCAGACAAGTAAAACATGATGAACTGGCTGAGAATGAAAACCAATAGATGAATTTTAGTTATATCAGTCTGAAATAAAAGTGCATCTAACTAGCCAGCATGTGGAACAATTTGTGCTCTATATCATTTCAAGCTGTGTCACTAATACTTACATCTATTTTAATCTAAACGGTTATCATTATAATAATAATGTTTATCTTTATAATTTTCCTTTTATACACCCATCTAATCTAAATGTTATCATTCTAATAAGTGTAATGTTTTTCTCAAGTTTTTAATTTTTATTTCTAATCACTTTTTTAGTGGTTCGTTTCCATCTGTGTTGATAAAATCACATACACATGTTAAAAATGGATTTTTTTTTAATATTTTAAATCAACCCAAATATTTTTTCATCATTATTTGGTAATTATTATAAAGTGTGATTAATAAACAGATACCATTCATGTACACAAAAAGCATGACCAAAGAAGCCCAAGATATAAAGAGCAGTAAAATCTTCAAGGCACGGAGGTTACAAGTATAGAAGTTATTTCATGTGTGAATGGAACATAGCAAGGAACTAATTGTGAGGATTAATGAGGGAGTTAGATATGTGCCCCTTCACATTCCTTGCCTGGAAATACTGAATCTTTCAGAATGATCCTAAAGCTTCCTTCAATTGTTCTCTCTTCATATGGCAGCTGTTTTGTGGTCATTTTTTTTTCTGCATTCATTTCTCTTTGAGTCAATGATTTCACTTCCACAGGAATCATACACTCATAGATTTGATCCAAACATACAGTAGTTTACAAATACACCAATTCAAATAAAATCAAATCAGATCATAATTTCCTTTTATAAAAGCAGGAATATTATTAAAAGTAGATTTGGCATAATTTAGTCATAAAAATGTGGTCAGATGGTTTTTAAAATACATGTCATTTTGAAATACAAAATGTTGAGATTCACTCTATTCAACACACACTTTTGCTGTATCTACCATGTTTACAACAAAATTCCAGTAGCAAAGAAATGACAGCAAAATTTAAAAATTATATAAAAATTACATTATAAGAAACTTAAAAACACATGTAGCAGGAAAATATAAAACATGGACTCCATAATATGTATACTGTGATGCTTACTTGTAACAAAATATAATAAACAATCAAGATACACTCTGTTAAAATGCCAACTAAAGTAAGTCTGTTTAACAAAACTGATTATAATAATAAAAAAAATTCCTTTCGTTACTATACCTTCCCTACTCCAACTTTTCGACATGCTTCTAGAAAATTCTCAACATTCTTCCGGCATTTTGCCATTGTAAGTTTTGGCTGAAATGAAATAAAATAACACAAATAAACTCATCAGAAAATAAACATGGAAACATTGTATGTTGGACCTTCATAATTCAATAACACTTGCTACTTTTTAAGGCAAGAAATGATGGAGAAATTATGCAAACCATACTGGCAATTGAAATGTTTGAAAGCTAATTTACATTTTAACATCTATCAATACATTTATCATAAAGAAAACATTAAATCAAGTAGATAGAGAGCAGCTTTATGTACTTCCACATGATATAAATAAGGACTATTTACCACAGCAGGCGAGGGTACATGGATACTGAGGACAGAGCGGGGCCTGATGTTGTTGGCAAACTGACACAACAACACGCCGTCCCTCAGGGACTCCGGCAAATTATCCGGCAACGTCACCTTCAGTCTCTTCTCTATTGTCTGTTAATAAATACAAAATGTCAGTGCTCCTGTTTTACTGAGTAGTGCTTTCAATATTCATAAAATATGTAGCATTTTAAGGAGCTTGCTGAAATTGGTATGAAAATACTGTATACAGGGTTACTTTCACCCTGTGTTATTTTCGCCATTACACACTTGCAAACAATTTTGCTCCATTTTAAATTCACCCAGTCATAGTTTTTTAAAGAAATTATACTGTATTCTTTGAATTCGCCGCATTTTGAATTCACCAAAATGAGGTTAGGGCGAAAGGGGTGAAAATTCCCCTGTATACAGTAGACAATAATCTTTTTACCATTCTGAGGCGATTTAACTGCTCTGCCTCTTCCTTCATGCGTTCCTCTTGTCGGCGTAGTGTAAAATTTCCATCATCTTTGTAACTATCAATCACTCTCATTGCACTCCCTGAACCTAAGAGAAATACTGTATCATTTAGTTGAAAGACATTTTCAGTGACAGTAACGAATTTACTTCCAAACGTACTTTGATGCTAAATGATTCTAAAATTGCAAGATATTCAGAAAAAAGTAAAATTAACCATTTATTGTTAAAAAATTGAGTCAATCTCTGAAAGCCTTTTTAATTCTAAAATGAAAAAGTTAATTCCTTGATTAGCATCTACAAACCTGCAGATCTGCGAGATGCTGCTCCATAACTTGTTCTGAGGGGTGGGTTAGGTGGGGTTTTCTTGTCATCCCTCTGTTGTGAAAGAAAGCCACACATTATCAATACTTTAAGGTAAATTACTAGTACTGACAACTGTATTTACACAGAAGAATTTCTGGTGGTATGAGTATCAGATGCACATGAAACATTTCTGTCAGTGAAGTACTGTTTACCTTGGCTATCATACTATTGACAGCATTCTTCTGCACCTGTCTTTTATCTTCTCCAGGTGTTGTCCGCCCACCTTTACCTGGCTTACCATCCTCCTGGAAGAATTTCATACATCATATATTTATATCAACAGAAGAATTATGTTTAAATTCGTAGAAAAATCTATTCAAATTTTTTGTTTAATATTAAGTTTCACAGATATTTTACTGTACTTTAATTACTACAATCTGCTTACCTGGGTTCAATGTTTTGTGGTATCAAAATAATATGCTACACAAGTACTCCGAATTTTAAGACGGATAAAACCTCAAGACTTACCTGTGAAGATCCCGTAGATGGTCTGTTAGAATTGCTTCTTACAGGGGTAGGAGGAGGGACATTGCTTCTCTCCCCACCTGCTGCACCCCTCCCAGATAAGGGCGTGGTGGCAGTTGTTTTGGTTCGTCGAGTGGCCCCGCCTCCTTTGTCGCCGATTTTGTGTAGTGAAGATGTCGAGGAACTGGGACTGTTGGTTCCCGTAGATCCCAGGGAAGACCTCGGACTTGGGCTCGGGGAAATTCCAGGACTATTTCCTCCATTTACAGAACTGAAAAACAGACAAAATAAAAATTAATAGTCCTACATCTTATCTTCACAAAAATTTAGGTTATCAGTATTAAAAATCAATAGAAATGCACTTTTCCTTTCTTTAAAAAATAAAAAATATGTACATGGGAAAAACAATGAAAGTCCATATTAAAAAATCATATGACATATTTATTTAATTGGCCTTTTTTATGTAAAACAAGACTACACATTATTCAGGAGAAAAGAACCAAAACTTTCCAATACTAGTAGTCCTTCCAATGCTACGATTAGTGCTTTTTTTTTTTATACCATTATATTTAACTCATGTTTATATTACATATACATACATATATAGCAGTCAGAATAGTTTAAACATTTAACCAGATAATACAAATATAATTCTTATTTCTTAACCATCTAAAAAGATAACATATAAAGAATATACCGAGTATGAAGAGAATATTGAAAGAAGAATAACCATTTAAAGGATAATTGAATACATTCATGCAGAAGTTTTTTCTTTCTCTGTGTAACATATAGGTTCTAGTAAATGTTTAAACATTTATCAATGTATCATTGAATCAAATAAAACACATTTACTATAATCTTAAAAAAGATTTAAGATAAAGGAAAAACTTAATAGATATACTGAAGTGAAAACCACACTAAAACAGAAACAATGAGTACTGGTATATGCAGTGTTGTATGTATCATTATGTCTACTGTATGAAGTCCTTTGGTGCATTGTCTTGAGTTACGTAAGTACCTCAGTCTAAAGATTATGTTAAAACACTTCACACAGGAAATTCTTGCTGTAACTACCAACTTCCCTAGAAATCCACAAAGGACTTTATCAATCACACCACTCATACATATTTCAGGTGAAAAAATTACTTGAGTGGAATATCCATTTTTATTTTGATGCATTATGATTTTTTTCCTGTTTATTAATGTGTGGAAAAAATGAAGAAAAAAGTGTGAAATCAGGTTTTAAAACAAAGTTCTTTGTGTAAATCTGACAGTTCATGTAAAGGGCTTTCCCATGATCATAAATCTTTGCTGGTCCGAACAAACAAAAATCATGTGCAACTTTTTTACTTAAACCTTAATTCATAAGTATATGACTCACTCATATTTACGATTCTTTCTGTTTTTCATTTGAAGGTCAATAATATGACTTTCCCAACAATACACAACTTAATTACAGTATCACACATAAAATATTCCCTCTTTCATCACATACATGTAACAAAGAGCACCCATAGTCCCATCCATTTATACTTTATTTCTTGCATTTTGAAAAGCAAACAAGCGAGTGTCCTTTTGTAGCAGCCCAAATCCTATTCAAAACTTGGTAGTTTTTTAAATTTCTAACCTAGTTATATTTCACTTTGATTGTAGATAACAGAATGTTATAATAAAGGATATTTTTTGACTCTATGCAACTAAGTGTGGTAGAATTCTGTTTTTTAAAGCTTTTCACTGTCTTTCTTCTTACACTGACAATGAAATTATTACACGGATTGCAAGTATAAAAACACAATAAATGCATTATAACAATAATCTGTATTTCTTGCGATATCAACAATTATATCGAAATCATCAACAGAAGATGATAATGGAATCAAATGTTGATACAGCACCCATACAGATTTTGTCATGGTTAATTTTCTACAGTATATTTACCGGTATATGCATATTGTATATACACATATTTATATACATTATTTTATACATTATACTGAGAGGGATCAAGGAAAAGATAAATGCAGATGGCATGATAATGATTACAAAAAGCACCCTGTCCTATAATTATCATACTGTCCGTTAATATGGCCATAACAGTCCAATATTACCTGCCCGGTTTGTTCCGCAACACGGGAATGCCTCTGCTAACAGGTCTGTAAAATGTCAAATCACCAACAGAGTATGAGCACAACAATCACATTCTAACTTAATATTAATCCACTCCCAGGCATGCAATAAGAACTTCAAAAAGATAGAGGGGAGTCAAGTAAATCCCGTTAACAGTATGCACATATGTTTTTATAAATAAATATAAATACTGAGAAGAATACATGAATAGCTGTGGGAATTAAATCTCGTTTATTCTAAATTCTTTAAAATGATATAAGTATATACAAGACATAATGGTTTATCATAATAAAGTTTAAATTTCTACGGTGAATGTTAAGGTGTTCAATACATGCACTGAATGTGCTAAATAAGAAAATTGTTGGATTAATTTCATTTTTCTTAGCATTAGTTGGCTGTCTGTTTATTAATATCAAGATGCAAAAATGGCTACAAAATTTTTTTTTTACTTTTTCCAACATAAATACTGAAAAAAATCATCTCAATTTTTTAAAATTGCAATGAAATTGTCTCTCTCAAAGTAAATGAATATCATAAATTCAAACCAGAGATTAAATTTGAACTGTTCCATGAAGTCATTATAAAATGCTGCCTGTCCCTATAAATCTATTTTTGTGCACTGCATTTCTACTGCTTTTAGCGGGGAATATTCTAAATCTCTCTAGTTAAATTACTGTGCAACATGCAGTCAGTAACTTTTAAAAAATAGTGAAAGGGCAAAAGCTTCTAAACAAGCTTAGGAGAAGGAGGGGATCTACCCGTAGACCAAGAGAAAAAAAGATGCAGAGGAAATAGAGGCAATATTTACTTTTTGATTCGCGATGTGGAGCTATGAGCACCAGAGGCCCCTGTTTTGGCCCCTGATGGTTTGGCCGTTGAGGGATTTGACGTAGGGTTCGGATTTGAATCGGAACCCTGTCGTCGTAACGGAACATTTGTTGGCTTCGGTTCCTCCTTGTTCACACTGTTGGTAGTTTGATTTGGTTGTCTGCAATTACATTTGCTCCGCATTAAATTGTTTACAAATTTACTACATGCATAATTTTAATCATTTTTAGAGATTTGTTGGAGATTACATATGATGTAATTCTTATTTTTACCATGCACCCTTAAACATACATTCCTTTCCAACACACACCTTTAGTATCTAGCATTTCTACTAAATTACATGTAAAGCCCATCTGTCAGTATATAATACAATATTTTCCCCCTTACTTTGGTACCTTGCCTTGTTAGCTAATATTTAAAATCTGAGAATCATTGTTATATTGTTACTTTAAGCAAAGCAAATAATCTACTCATTTCCGATCACTTTCTTTTTATATCCACATATTGTGATAAGTTACAGAATATTTGAGTCTCTTTCAGTGCCAAATAAAACATAAGTTATGCAACCTTCAAGCAATTAAATTTCCAGACAATAAAAAAAAAAAATCTCTCAAATTGTACCCTATTCTTAGTGCACAACCATTTAATATATATAAAAAAGAAAATATTTATTATACCTGTTAAAATATCCTTATAATGCAGGATCATGATTCATACATGTATGTATCTGTCTGTATGTTCGTGTGTAATGTTGAACACATAGTGGTAATAAACTAATTGAAATGCACTTGTATAGCAAGCAATGAAAAATGCACAATATAGGATTAAATCATAATGCAACATGTCAGGATACAAGAGAGTGATTTGCTGTAGAATACAAAAGAACTACCTAACACATAGAAAAAGCCAGATAAAGAAAATAACAGACAGATGTGCACAAAGATACATATTACAAGGTGGTGAATTTCTACATCACACAAGTGCAGAAGTTTCATACAGTACCTATAATTCATGCTATAGGTATCCATTGCATTTCTGCTGTTGCGTTGCAATGGAGCAGCGTAATGAGGTACAGAAGTCTTTGCTGAATGTGGAGAAACATGAGGAGGGGAGTGAATGGAAGAGCTGCTATTTCCCATGCTAGCATCTTGCACATATCCAGAATAATGCTGAGAGTCAAGTGCTAGAGTCCTTGGAGGGTTTCCAGATGCACGAGGGTTATATGTGGGCCTGTTTGGTGAAACCCCTTGAGGAGATGCACCAAATGGGGAAACCCCATATGGAGAGCCCCTGTGAGGGTCGTGGTGTTCATTCCTGTGGGGAGAATGAACTGTTTGTCCATAGGAATATCCAGGGGGTGATCCTGGAGAAACAGGGGAGTAGGGGGACACATTTCCATGGTTATACTGAGGTTTGTAACCATATGGGGTGGGGGTGTTGAAATCTGCAGGGTGTCGGCTTGGATAACCCTTGTAACTGAAAACAAAAGTATTAGTTTTCCTCTAAAGTAAGACATTTTCTAGCATAGTATCAAATTTTGTTAATCCCTATATTAAATTTCTCTAGAGTAAAGCATTCGCTGAAGGATTCTCCTTACAGGGTAATGCTAGGGGACTTATAGATCTGTTTGCCTATTTAGCATTGTTTCAACCCCAAAATTTAAGTTTAATACAATAAATAAAATATTTCTAAAATTCAAGGGCATGGGTTTTCCCATCTCAATATTAATTCTGAGAGAAGGTCAGCTTTTTAATTTTCAAGGAAGGCAGAGATTGGTAGGACTATATCCTTTGAATTTAGTACATGTATTGGAAAATTTGATAATACATGTGTATATAGTTTTTTTTTCTCCATTCTGAAAATTCATTCTGCATGACAAAGCACATGCAAGTTACTTAATACTTTAATGATATAATCAGTATATATGATGGATATTAAAATGAAGATGTAAGGAAAGAATGTGATCTGTTATATATACATATGAAATTAATGTAATTGCTTTAGTTTTGTGTTGACTTGAAGAACCTCCGAATAGTCCATCTGAAAAATATATGATATTGGACAAGGTATTAGAAGCTGAAGGGGTAACAAAGAATAAGAAAGAATTATTGAAATATTTTGATTTATAAACCAGTATCTAAAATTTAAGGGTTTAAATTTTGTAAGTAATCTACAGTGTATTTCTTATAAACAAAGTTTTTGTTATGGTCTATACGATAAATTTGGAAACTGTGCAAAACCTAATCACTTCCTTGAGAACAAAGCACACATTTTGGATAATCTCTCTGCAGTACAATATCAATAAATAATCAGGTTCTGTGATCAAGGAATAGCTGACCTCCTCTCAATACAAATGATTATCTCAGCTACAGGAAAAAATCAGTTAAGACTAGGACAGCCATATTCCCCCCTTACACTGGGACCTTCTTATGAAAGAAATAAATTTCTGTTGACATAGGAAAAAGTATAATATGGTATAAAGGTGTAAAACCCGAGTTCAACCTTGTGTACATGGCATTTATCACCAAGAACTGATAAACAAATATCTCAATTTAATTGTTTTAATTAACATACATGTACCTTGCTCTTATAAATTGTTATGATGCTTGAATTGCTTACAAATTGAGTAATACACTGTAGATATTTAAAATTTCAGGGCAGATTATTTTATTGCATAAAAATATCAAAGTTACCCAATAGAACTCTTTAGTGTGCAAAGTCAAGATGATCCTACATACAATGTAGCTCATTTTAGTGCAGTTTATATCCTAAATTAAATCTTAAATAGTTGTGTTTTACTTTGAAATGAAAAAAATAATTTTCATTTAATTAGTGAAGAAGACTTATTTTTCATGCAAGAAATAAACAATGAAAATTTTTTCCTTAAAGGTTTAAAGATTATACTCATAAGAATCTAAGTTTGTTTTTTGTGTGTGTGTGTTTTTCAGATGCAGAGAAAAAAGCTGAGATTGGTAAATTAACATAGCATTAGTTGAGGCAAGAGATACCAAGGGTAGTATTACCAATATACATCTATTTAGTTCTGTTCTACTTTTACCTAACACCCTGACAACATAGAAACTTTTTATGCTTAAAGCTTTTTAATTTTTGATTTCCTACGTTGAACCCATGTGACTACATTCTTGAAGGGAAAGATTTGAAAAATTGTTAATATCATACTACATTTAAAAATCATTCATTTTGTTAATCACATTGAATAAACACAAAAAAACAATAACATAAACAAACCATGCATAACACAATTCCTATTGTTCAAATATCATACCATAATTCATATTTATATAAATTGTTATATTTAAACATAAGCACTTGTGCATTTCACTGGCATTAAATTGATTAACTTTGCAAAGAAAATAAAGAGTAGAGTTCATTAATCCAGAGAAATGTACACATGGAAAAAATTGTTCAAAGTAAGCGTATAAGCAGTTTTGACATACTTGTTTTCTACAGATCGTCTGGCATCCACTGGCGCTTTGTTGGCCTCTGATTCAGGGCGAGCAATCGAAGCCTTTGGTTCATCCTGCTTTTTCTCTGGCCTTCTGCTATCTTCTACTTTAACTGCTTCATTTGTCCTATTTATTCGAGTTATCAAAATAGAAATTTACCCTTGATCAAATAGTTATACGCATATTTTAACTCTTAGAAAAAGAAGTAAGTTTGACAACAAACGGTATTTGCTGTATTCCATCATTCCCACGTTTACCTTGACTCCTGCCACTGCTTCTCTAACAGAGCTTTCTGCTCCTCCTGAATTTTCTGGGCAGCTTTTCGCCTTGCTTCTCTCTCTTCTTCTTCCTGCTGAATTCTTAGCTGTTCAGCCGTCTTCTTCCTTCGTTCATATTCTACTTTCTGGCGATTAAGTTCCTATCAAACAATTCATATCTAGATTGCTAGTGGTGACAATACAAGGTTAATTTGAAGTAGCCTGAATTACAGAAAAATCCATTCATTCTTTCAAATCTCTTTATTTTTGTACAAAGAATATCCTTTTTATTATATGAAATAATGATATCTTTGCTACTTTTGAAGTACACTTTTATAGGCATATGGGTAGTTTTTCAATGGAAACTAGAACTGTCCAATAGGGACAAATACCCCCGCTGGGTTTTTCAGAGTAGGTGCCAATTCAGAAATATTTTATGGATCTAGTAAGAGGTGTTCACTATTGTCTAATAAAGTGCCCTGCCACAGCATGATACGCCCATCAAATATTGTTCGATAATCATTTAGGGTGCAAGAAAATCAAGTAACATTAACAATTGATACAGATTTCAATGATCTAATTTCCATTTCTTATCTTGTTTAAAATATTGTACATACATCTCTAAGAGACTTGCAGTGTAGGGATTAATTAAGACAAATAATACATCATATAATTCTAAACTGGCTGTGTTAGAGATTAACAAATATCCATCTGCAGCTTTAAATTGTTTATTGCATATTTTATGAAATAATGGAAATGCTACAGTCTAATAAAAAAAATCAAAAATTAATTATTCTGTAGACTATAAAATTCTAAGTGAGACATGACTGCAATTTGTTGCAAGTATATAAAAATTGAAATGTAATTTTTTTTCAATGAACATATGTATAACAAGAGATGTTTGTAAAACACTTATGCCCCCCTCCCCCCCCCCCCCACTGGAATTTTTTTGTAAGTCCAAGGGGCATAACTCTGTCAAAAATGGCGCGATTGTACCCAAAACAGAACTTGACCTAGATATTCATCTGATAAATCTGTATAGTAAATTTCATCTCAGTATGTGCAACGGGTGCAAAGAAAATGAACGGAAACTGCAAATAATTGGAATTTTTTCAAACTGCAAGGGGCATAACTCTGTCAAATATGGTGCGAGCCGTCTTCTAACTTGACCTAGATATTAATGTGATATATCATAGTAAATTTGATGTCAGTATGTGCCACGGTTGCAAAGAAAATGAGCGGAAACTGCAAATAATTGAAATTTTTCTAAGTCCAAGGGGCATTCTGTCAAAAATGGTGCTGGAACTTGACTTATTGATATATCTGTATACTAAATTTGATTTCTATGTGCAAACAAATAATTGAAATATTTCTAAGTCCAAGGGGCATAACTCTGTCAAAAATGGTGCGATTGTACCCAAAACAGAACTTGACCTAGATATTCATGTGATATATCTGTATACCAAATTTCATTTCAGTATGTGCAACGGTTGCAAAGAAAATGAACGGAAACTAAGTGGACCGACAGACCGACCGACGGACCGACAGACAGCAGCAAAGCAATATGCCCTCCTTTCTTCGAAGGGGGGCATAATTAATATTAATTATATTATACAATACTAATTCAGTTTTAATCATACACTAAAACATCAATTTGTTTTAATTACATTACACCAATTGAAAGATCTTTATACAGAAGAACTTTTAAATAAGGCCATTCTTTTTGCCCAACTTTCAAATCTCTGATGCTCTTGCCAGTTAACTCCCGACAATGAACTCATTAATTTCTCTCTAAATCAAAAATTCTTCTTGACCAGTGCTATAATTTGCCCATGAGACAAACTGAATTCCTCTCAAATCATTAACATTTGTTACAGAATTTGCTGTAAAGTATATCATAAAAAATAAGTTTTTACTTAATTTAATTTTTTAATAAGGATACAACTATATTTTTACATTTTTTAGGATTATGAAATTTATAATTTTAAAGATTAGTTTTTTTAAAAAATCACTTAAAATTAAAGGTCACAGTGACCTTGAAATAGGTCGGTACACACCGTCTACCCAAGATGCATAAATTGTCCAAGTTTGATGATTGTAAGTCTAATAGTTTTCTAGTTATGAGCCAACAAAATGGCCTGTAAAATGCTCATCCAATCATGATGAAAATCCCATGTGCACACCTTCATATGCTGAATAATAAGTGTATGAATTTTCAGACAAATCCATCCAACAGTTTCTGAGAAACGGTCCGGACAAATTCTTGTCTACAGACAGACGGACATGGTGATTCCAATATACCCCCCTAAACTTCGTTTGCGGGGGTATAATTATCAAAATGATCGCTACACTTTCAAAACTGTGATACATGCAACAACATACAGATGGTTTGAAAAAAAAGGAGGCTAACTATTCAACAGGATTACTGAATGTTATAAAACAGGAAAATGAGAAAGGATTCTGCAGAAAGTTGGAGTACATAAAAAGATAAAGTTAGAACTGTCTCAAGCATTACCTGGGCTATTATTTGCAGCTGTATATACTAGACTTCCCAATGTAATTTAATATATACCCGGTAGTATAAAGGCCAGTTTTCTTTTGTATAAGAGACGGGTATCTTCTGTGATCAAATATTAGACAAAGAAACTTGATTTAAATCAAACTAACCCTTGAAAACTCATTTTCTGAAAATGCCTGGTCACTGGTGCTAATTGGCATTCTAGGAGTTACAGGGGTCAAAGGTGACTGAGGTGATAGCTCCCCTGGGGGTGGAGAGAGTTCAGTTGGAGGATACCCTGGGGTGGGGGTCTTAGGTGAAAACTGATCGGTATTTGGTCCACTGTAAGCTGTGTTTATTGGAGGAGGGCGAGATTCATGCCCTCGTCTTGGCGGGTCTATTTCTGGACCATTAGCCACGACCCCTTTATAAGCTGATGAATCGCCATGCTGCCAGTGGCTTAATGCCTAAACAGGGCCAAAAACATGCAGTTAAATGTACACTCACACAAATAACAATGATTTGTGTGCAGCTATCGCAAGAATTACATGTAACCTCTACCTACAGGTATATTTCAGCCTAACTAAAAAAAATTTAAAAAGCAAAAAATATTATCCATAGCTTTTAATATAATAAAATTGGCTATTCAAATGTCTTCACTTTGAGCTAAAAATACCAAGCATGATTTTATAACAATCTGAACCCTCTGTCTTAGCTGAGAGATAGTTCATGTCTCTTGTGATAAATTCTTCCTGTTTAAGATAACACACAAATTTTCATTCCATAAATCATTATACTGTACATATATTTTATCTGGATAAATAAATAAATAATACACAAGCAAGAACAAAATATGCCATTTCTGGATATAAAGAAATATATAATTTTGTACAAGTAATAGAAAGAGAGAGAGAGTCCTTGCGATAACTGCATATCAAACCATGCAATACATTTCAATGAAAATAAAAAAACAAAGCAGAAAGATCTAGTACACATAAAATGTTTACTGACCACAAATTTCAACATGTACAAATTCCTTACTTGTGCAGTTTACAATGTGTATTTTTATATAACTATTCCATTTCATTTTTCTGCTTTATATCAACACTCAACAGAAATAGCGAGTGTTGCCATCTTCTTTGTGGTCAGCAATATCAAAGACCATCTAGAATACTACTTTGTCTCAAACAACACTGAGTGACAAAAGATTCTTTCATCGCCTAAAACTTATCAGTACCTTTTATGCTAACAGTTCAATTTTTGAATAAAAAGTTTTTGTGTTACAGAATGTGTACTTTACAATACTCCTACATAAAAGACAAAAACTAGAACTGTACAAAAGGGACAAAATACCCCCCGCTGGGTTTTTCAGAAGTAAGTTTTTCCATAATAAAGATATGTATCAAACACGAATTATGAAATTTTTCTTCCAGTGACCTTGAACTTCCCCAAATGACCTTGGGTCAAGGTCAAGACACACCCTTGGGTGATGTGCAATCTTTGAGTGAATGAGAACCTACCAAGTTTATCCATAAGAAAGATATGGGAGACACGAATTATGAAATTTTTTTAAGTGACCTTGAACTTTCCCAAATGACCTTGGGTCAAGGTCATGACACACCCTTGGGTCATGGGCAATCTTTGAGTGAAATGAGAACCTACCAAGTTTATCCATAAGAAAGAAAAGGACCGGACACGAATTATGAAATTTTTCTTCCAGTGACCTTGAACTTTCCCAAATCACCTTGGGTCAAGGTCATGACACACCCTTCTGCCGTGGGCAATCTTTGTGTGACATGAGAACCTACCAAGTTTATCCATAAGAAAGATATGGAACGGACACAAATGATGAAATTTTTCTTCCAGTTACCTTGAACTTCCCCAAATGACCTTGGGTCAAGGTCATGACACACCCTTGGGTCATGGGCAATCTTTGTGTGAAATGAGAACCTTCCAAGTTTATCCATAAAAGATATGTATCAAACATGAATTATGAAATTTTTCTTCCAGTGACCTTGAACTTTCCCAAATGACCTTGGGTCAAGGTCATGACACACCCTTGGGTCATGGGCAATCTTTGTGTGAAATGACAACCTTCCAAGTTTATCAATAAGAAAGATATGGACCGGACACGAATTATGAAATTTTTCTTCCAGTGACCTTGAACTTCCCCAAATGACCTTGGGTCAAGGTCACGACACACCCTTACGTCATGAGCAATCTTAGTGTGGAGTAGTAGATTCTAATGTACCTCTGTAAGAAAGATATCGACCGGACACGATTGCACAGACAGACAGACAGACGGACGGACAGACGGACAGCTAGACAGACGGACAAGGTAATTCCTATATACCCCCCAAACTTCGTTTGCGGGGGGTATAAAAATTCCCAGTTTAGACTAGGAATAATGACAAATGCAGACTTAGTACCTACCTCCGACACATTAGGAGAAAAACCAATCTTGTCCAAACTATCTGTGGTGCTGTACCCCGAGTCATTACTTAACACAGTGTGTCTCTTCCATTTCTCTTGTGAAGGATCTGTCATAAATTCCTCTGTAGGTCTGTATAACAATATCAAGAAAACAAGAAATTAACATCAACAAGCAAAAATCATTGTGATACTCTTTTTCAGCTTTTGTGTTATTTTCGCTGACAATATTGTGAGGCCATACATAGAATTTTGAGGAGGCATGGACTTGCGGACCAGTTTCTTCATCTCTGCATCGTTGTCTCTCTTCTGTTCCTCCTTTATAGCCTCTATCTGAAGGAGCTTCATGATGTGACGTTTACCTTTGATACACACCTGTAAATAATTTATTACAGTATTTCACTGTTAAATGTAATGTGCATAACAGCATATGGGACTTGTTCAAAAACATGATAATTCTTAAGTTTCCTTTTTTGTTTTGTTTTCTTTTTTAAACGTAGAATTCACTAAAAAGAATTTTTTTTTAATTTTCAGTCATTTTGGTAACAGGGCTTACAGATGTACAAGTATTTTCAGTGATGTATACCAACTACCAAGTCAACATGTTTTACGAATTTAAAATATATGAACTTTATTTCCCTCTCCTAGTGTGTTATCTCCCTTATCTGAGCAGCTGGATGATTACAGGGATAGTACACTTACATGAGCTTGGGACTAACAATGGGGGTAGTACACTTCCCCAGTACATGGACTGGGGGCTAATAATGGGGGTAGTATATGTACCTGAGCTGGGGAGTAGTACACTTACATGGGCTGGGGGCATGGTCAGTGGGTTGTGGTCCAGTATCATCTCTTCTAATGTCTCTATCTTACGAAATGCAGTAGGTATAGTTGAAATCTTGTTGCTTGAAAAATCTAACTTCCGTAAATGTAATTTACTTATTTCTGGAAAAAAAATAGATCTTTTTAACATGAGGACAAAAAATAAATCACGAATTTTTGTTTTTATCATGTTTATGTGAGCATTCATATTTTTAAATTTTAAATCCTGTGATATTTATTATGAAGAAATTATATTCAACTATAGAGTTTCTTAATGATTTTCATGATGAATTGTATAAAGAGTATGTGTATAAATATCATCAGATTCATTTTCACTTACCCAAAGGTAACTCTTTTAACAGATTACGTCTAACATTTAGACACTGCAAGGATTTGAGATCCCCTATCTGAGATGGCAAGCAAGATATTTCATTGCAGCTGACATCCTAAAAAGTCAAAGTCTCAGCATAAATGATATAAAATTGTTGCATACACTCTTACACTGATCAGCAGATTGATAAACTTCACAGCAATAACCAAAAGTCCATCATTATCAACAGCTTGAAATGCTTCAATGGCATCGAACATGAAAAATATAATTTCACAGTTTTTTAAAGTAAATATACGAGGGTTGTCCCGTAAAATCGTGGACAAAGCGTTTTTCTCGAAAAGTAATGGGCGCAATAAGCTGAAATTTTCAGTATATGTTTATTAATCATATTTAAGTGTATCATAATGTTTTTGATAATATATATACAAAAATAAGGATTTTATTCTGCTTGAAGGTGCACAGGGTACGGTCCTACGGCGCACGGTAAAAATAACAAGGTTGTATTCGAGAATATACAAGTATTAATTCGTAATAAAAGTTTTCAATACATAAGATTAGGATGAAAATTATCTTAATTTGATTCCTTAATCAATTCTATCGTCTTTTTGAAGATTTCAAGGCATTTGGTTAAATTTTGGCTGTTTCCCAAGCATTCGAAATGGAAAAGTTGTATACACAATACACGAAAAATGACGACGTTTCATGACGTTACGGCGCACCGGAGAGCAGTTCAGATAGATTAGGATGTTTTAATGACACTTAAAAAGACTTTAAATGAATACGGAAGAACGAAAATATGAAAAATATCACCAGATTTTTAGTATACAAGTAAAATGGACGTTTTCTTAGCGAAGTCTTCTTGATTGAGTCCCTAGATGGTACAAAACATGCGGACAGACTGCCATTGTAATAGTAAAAGACGCTGTCACTGTCGACCGTCGATATGAGATTCTCATCTAGTTGACTGGTGGTGAGAATACTGTCCGTAACTTGCTCATAAATATTCAGAAGATCGCATGAGTGTGCCACATTGGTTCCTTAACTGGTAATAAACACTCACGTATGTAAATCAATAAAATTTCTAAATTTAAGTGGGGCTTATCCAACTTTATTTTAGCAAACATGAAGCGTGACGCTGTTTTAGACACGTCGACGTTATCATCCGTGCGCCGTAGGGCGCTACAGTACATAACATAAAATATCACAATTTGCTTATTTATGCATATATTTATTTGAAATTTGCTATGTATATTTATAATTTATGTACTAAAAAGTAGTGAAACATTCAGAACGCAGTGATGATTATTTTTCAAACTAGTCAACTTGTCCACGATTTAACGGGACAACCCTCGTAGAATTAGACATTTTTTACAAAATATTCCAAAAATAGTCGTGGAACCTTACAAAATGGTGCAAAAGGAATATGAAATGAATTAACCATACACCTCAAAGTAAACAAAAACATGAGCATCTCCCCCCTTCCTCCCCCCCCCCCCCCCCTTTATGTTCTAGTTAAGAATAAGAAATTAATTCCTCGTTTTTGACAGTTGAAGAACTTTGAAGGACTTGTAATTTGAATACCATGAGTTATTCCCCTTACACTGTTGTACAATTTTACAAATTTACCCTTGAGCTCTGATAGTTTAAATTAAATAAAAATTTCAGTAGTCAGAAGAATTTTACTTATCCAAGAGAAGGTTACTTACAATTTCCATAAGCCGTTTAAGCTCCCCAATTTCCTCTGGCAATGAGACCAATTTGTTGTGACTGGCAAGAAACACTTCTAAAGCTTGTAAACATTTAATGAATGGGGGTATGACTGTCAGCTGATTCCGACTGAAAAAATAATGGTCAGTGATTCAATTAATTACAAGGTTTATCTCCTACACATTTAGCTGAATCACATATATGTTTATAGTGAAACACATTCTTAAAATCCTCCAAATAAATTCAAAAGTCAGGTTCTGCCACAAACCAACATATGGACAGACTTTATCATTGCCATGTCCCCTCCCCATTTCAATATTAAATCTGCATATTTCATGTCAGTACACCTGCAACCCCCAAAATGTTTTTATTTCTTGTAAGCATTGATTATGCTATCTCTAACATAATAGACCAGATGTGTATGATATTACCATTATATCAATGTACTTCTACTTTTCAAAAGTATTACCCAATATAATTTTAGCATCAGTATGAGTAATTAATCTCAGTGTGTGGAAACCAAAGAAATAAATACAATCCCTAATTTTATTACAACTTATAAAATTGTAACTTTGAACTGTACCTGAGACAAAGGTGAGTGAGATTCTGCAGCTGTAACAAGGCTTCAGGAAAAAACTTAATAGCATTGTGGTAACAGTTTAAACATTCTGATGAACGATACTCAAATATTTCTACGGGAATTTCCGTGAACCTGTTCTTAGAAAGATCTGTAACAAAATAAAACAATAACGCATTTATTAAATAAATAGAACTTATTCATTTTCCTACTCTTTAGTCTTACATTTACTTCTAAGTCTCTAATGCATGAAGATCTTAATGAATTTTGGTACATTTAGTCTTATACATATAACAATGTATATTTCTACCAAACTGCAGGGAACAGAATAATGCCTTAATAGAGGCTCATGGACTACCAAACTGCAGAGAATAGAATTATGCCTTAATAGAGGCTCTTGGACCATAATTCTAGCCTGAGTTGTCAGAATTTTCCCTATACCTTCCAATGAAAATATGTTCTATTTCCACTATCATGACTATGGAAGAGCTTTACTCTTTTGTAAAGAAGTTGGAAATATTAAAAATTTTCTGGGATTTCAGGGACAAATGTAACATAAACATGTACACAATATGTTGAATGTTGATGAACAAATCCTAACAAAATGAGATATTTTAATGCTGTGGACTTTTTATACATCAAGAGTACTAGGGTTTGCAATGACAACAATATCAATTTAATGAATTTATATCTAATTGTTGATTTTATGTATCTATCTATTGTATGGTATATGTAATATTAAGAGTACAAGTTTCCACTTTATCAGAGATAAGGAGCATGGCTTAAGGCAAGAGCTAAAGCTTGAGCAACGCCCAAAGTTCTATCTCCAAAACAGTAGGAGTGAGTATTCCATAAGACATGTGACATGATCTTTCTTATGACCTGACTGTATGCTTTGGCTTAAAGTTCTTAAATTATGTTTGCTAAACTAGTATATTCCTTTAATTTGATGATCACAAAGAAATGTCAGGGCTGATCATGTATCTACCCCCAGTGATTACGATTTTCCATTGGGGGGGGGGGGGGGGGGGGGGGAAAATCATTTGTGAACTGCCTCTCTCTGTCTTTCTAAATTTTTGTTAAATCCAGCCCAGGTAACTATACGTTGTAAAATTCTTTCCTTAACTCACCTCAAATTTTGAGTAAATATATAAACAAGAGGCCCATGGGCCACATCGCTCACCTGAGAAGCTTTGACCATTCCATTCTTTACCAGATTTCCCCCTTGTAATGCATATTGTGACCCCACCCTACCCCACTGATAATAATTTAGACAATTTGAAATCTACATTACCGCAGGATGCTTTGATTCCCCATTATGAAACTTTATTCCCCATTGTAGCCCTGCCCTACCCCTGGGGGTCATGATTAGAATAATTTAGTATCTAAACTACCCCAGGATGCTTCCACATAAGTTTCAGCTTTTCTGGGCTTGTGGTTCTTGTGTAGAAGATTTTCAAAGATTTTTCCTATATATTTCTATGTAAAACTTTGATTCCCCATTGTGGCCCCACCCAAACCCCGGGGGTCATGATTTGAACAATTTAGAATCTAAATTACCCCAGGATGCTTCCACATAAGTTTCAGCTTTTCAGGCTCAGTGGTTCTTGAGAAGATTTTCAAAGATTTTTCCTATATATTTCTATGTTAAACTTTGATTCCCCATTGTGGCCCCGCCCAACCCCCGGGTGTCCTGATTTGTGCAACTTAGAATCTACACTACCCCAGGATGCTTCCACATAAGCTTCAGCTTTTCTGGCCCAGTGGTTATTAAAAAGAAGATTTTTCCTATATATTTCTTTGTAAAACTTGAATTGTGGCCCCGCCCAATCTGTCATGATTTGTACAATCTCTGCTTCCACATAAGTTTCAGCTTTCCTGGCCCAGTGGTTCTTGAGAAGAAGATTTTTAACGATTCTTTCCTATATATTTCTCTGTAAAACTTGGATTCCCCATTGTGGCCCCGCCCTACCCCCGGGGGTCATGATTTGAACAATTTAGAATCTACACTACCCCAGGGTGCTTCCACATGAGTTTCAGCTTTTCTGGCCCAGTGGTTCTTGAGAAGAAGATTTTTTAATGACCCCACCCTATTTTTGTCTTTTCTTGATTATCTCCCCCTGTGAGGGGACTTGGCCCTTTATTTTAAGAATTTAAATTCCCCTTCACCCAAGAATGCTTTGTACCAAGTTTGATCAAAATTGGCCCAGTGGTTCTTGAGAAGAAGTCGAAAATGTGAAAAGTTTACAGACGGACGGACAGACAGACGGAAGGACAGTCGGACGGACGACGGACAAAATGTGATCAGAAAAGCTCACTTGAGCCTTCGGCTCAGGTGAGCTAAAAACAGCTCTACATCATGCAATTTGAATTATTCTTAAATCTTTATAATTCTTGTGTCTATTTCATTTAAGATACCCCTACAGCTTTCAGTCATCACTTAATGTAAACTATTCTCTATGTAATATTGCATGCATTGTTTCAGAATTAAAGAGCTCAAAGTTTAATACATTGTCAAATATATCTCAATCCTAACCATGCTAACCAGACTTGTTGAAATCTGTTGGTCCTGTTGGCAAGGCCGGTAAAAATTTGTCTGGACCGATAACTTTCAAGAAAACGTCTAGATGACCATTTGAAATAAATTGAGCGTTATGCAAATTCTATAAAGATTGGGATCAGGATGCGTAGCTGAAGGTCACAAACACAGAAAAAAATGGATGCATACACGGCGTGTTGACAGTAGCCAATTTAATTTGCTTATAGCAAAGTCATACAGTAAATCATGTCATTTATGCCTATTGTTAAAGACTCTCTATCCCAAAGAAGGAAACTTGTAAGTTGTAAGACTGAAAGCTGTTGAAAATAATACAGAGCATTTTGGTGTTGTTATTCATATGGCTTTCTCAGCGTCATAATAAGGTACATGTATCGGGTCTGACTAAACTTTGAACGGTCTGACAGAACATTCGACTTTGTCAGACCAAATGTCTTACAGTGATTAAAAAATTTCTACAAGTGTGCCTACCCAAAGTTCACTATCTAATCTCACATTGTTTTCATGGATATTGCAGAAAATAGTGTTTAAACAATATTTTGCTAATATTTGCAATTATTATCATGCCACTTTGACGAGCTGTGATGTCACTGAGTAGACATTTCAAATATATAGTACGGTTTTTAACTTTTCAGAGGCAGATCTAAGTTAAAAGTGATTAGGTATCCAGTAATGCACAACTCATTACGTTCATCCCAATGGTTACACCATCAACATATTACAGATTTTATACAATATAATAACCAAAATTTGTGAAAATTTCCCTTATAAATATCCAACACCTCTTAAAAATAAGTTTGTTTTTTTTTTAATTGGCCATACACAGAATCTTAACAAAGCTATATAATTAATTCGAGCTAATCAAGAGATTGTGCCGGACATAGTGAAATATAATCATAACATTAGTCATCACTGGAGCTCATTGTTCAGTGTTTACCATTACTTAGTTGAGACCAAGACATTGAATTAGCTAATTGCATATATTAATGTAAAATATACATATAACAAAATATTACATCGTTGACTATATATACAAATAACTATAAACATCTATTTTTCTTTTTTTCAGTTTGACACTTGCCTATGGAGACGGTGTCGACAAGATCATATTTTCCTGCTATTTTTGGATATTCTTTCAGTTTACGACCACAAAGAATAACTTCACCAGTGTGTTGAGCATCATCGAATATACGATCCAGAGGTCTAGATACTGTGTTTGCTGATCCTCCGGTAAAAGTACTCGCCATTATACTTCCTAAACTGGTACCATGATGAATCTCAACTGGCTTCCATTTTTTCTGTTATCATTTGCACATGCGCAGAGGAGGTGATGATGGATACGTAATTAATTTGTCCTATACCTATTCGTAGCGATAAATAATTTTAGTAACATTAGTTAAAAGAATATGTTTAAGTTGTATTTATTTTTAAAAGCAATCATATTATTACAGAAGAAATAGTCAATGATAAAATTAATATCATATTTATTATTGATTTAGCAATCACATTTTTGTCTTATGATCGAATAATTATACGAACGAATTTCAATTACCTGCGATCCCTTTTACTAGAAAAGCGAAGTAAGTAAGTGAATATTTATTGATTTAGGTATATATAGCAACCGAAATGAGACAGTTTCATGTAAATCTACATTTAGTCCTGAAAATTATTAATTAGAATGTTTTTTTTCCAATTTGTCGAACCTCTTAACCATAGTTATCGGAGTAATTAAAAGTACTTGGGTCGTGGTTTATAAATATTTATAATGTACCTTATTGATATGTAAAAAAAGTAAAGGTATGCAGGCTCCGTAATGGCGTCTGCTCACACATGGCTACGCTGCAAACTGACAAATTGATTAATAATTGTAAATATCAGTGAATAAATTTTTCAAACTTTTCGTTAACGATAAGGAATCCAAAATTCTAGAGGCATTCCGAGAAAATTATAAATAGTTCTGGGAATTTCAAGTTATATTTAAATTTCTCTGCCTGTGTAATAAAATTCGTGGTTTTGATTCCACTTAGTTAATAACAAAAAATGTAAAAATCACCTTTTAAATTATTTGAAATAATCAGATAAATTTTTTTTTTTAAAGAGAACTGAATACCTTTAAAAAATGTACATTATGGTATTGATTAAAAGTTGAAGGTGGGAGACTGTGCTACAATTACAAACTGACAAATACAGTGAATAAATGATAAGGAATTGGGATGTGATCCCTTTGTTACTAAAGCCAAAATATGTAACAAAGAAATAATCAGATAAATTTTTTTTTCTGAATACCTTTAAAAAATGTTTATGGTATTGTGAGACTAAAATATTCTTCGGATTGTTAATTGTAAAATAAATTCATAAAATTTTGAATCTGCTTTAAATACACTTTAAAGTTTAAAAAAAAGTTATGATTCTGACACTTTCGGTCAAGAAAAACCATGTTTAAGAAAGATATCACAGCTATATAAATACTCTAATAGAAATATAGAATGTTCTAGTGTTGTTAGAACAGTTCGATATGATTTTGTCCTACGGACCTGGTTTAACGATAGAATTTATTCCATGTATTTTCAATGTAGCAAAATAAACACAGGCGATAACTCAAACTCAGTGCATTTACTACAAATAATCCAGAGATTTCCTATTGTAAACATGGCAGGTAAATTTGAAGTGAGAAAAAACATTGAGAAAATTAGTTGAATTTTCGTCTTTATGTAGATTATTTTTTGAGATATATATACAATCTCAAATTGGTTTGTTTCAATTAATTTGGTAGTTATTTTCAGCCAATCTGATTAAAATCAGATCCTTGATCCACTCCTTTAATTTTTTGTCACTACACCTCACGTTGCGACAATAAAAAAAATAAAGGAGTGGATTGAGGATCAGATTTTTATAAGATTGATTTTCAGATCAACCCCTTTTGTATTCTTCAAAATCTTTTTGGAGCGATTCTGCTATTATTTACTACATTGCAAGTATATTGGACGTATTCTTACTGTGGTGAGACACAATTAGATTATTCTAACTTAGTAACTAAGTTGTCATCTGTAAGGGCGAAACGATTACACGTGTAAATGGCAACGTTTCGATTATATGCTCTAAACGTTTACAGTTTGAGTAAACGTTTACACGAAGGTCATTATCAATGTCTATCAGAAATAAAGTTTAACACAAACAAATTGTTCTCTATTTCATAATTTACAAAAGAAACACTGCCTTTGACCATTTGACAAGCAACAATCTAAACCGGAAACATATTGAATGAAGGTATCTAAAACCCGATACGGGCTTACATAATTAATTCCGATTTCCGAGTTGCTAATACTAGCGATGTTTTACGACACTTGAGATATAAAACTTGATATATTTTGATTAAATAAATATAATACATTTTTCACAAGTCTTTGAAAAGTTTCAATACAGTCAGCAGGTCTTGTTTTACTTTTTTCGAGATTAAAAGATCCATCTTTACAATTATTTTTTCTACGTCCGGTAGCCAAACAAACCAAGCAGTTGGGTGACGAGGTCGAAAGTGAATGAGTTTAATGCGCCTCAAACTCTTACGGTTAAATCACAATGACCAACAATAAATTTGTAATAACAACTCATACTAAATATTAAAGTGAAAGAATTGATTATTAAATTCCAGTTTCATGATTAAATAGCCATGAAAAATCCAACATCGAATATCTCCCGTTTAAACGGTAACGTTTCGTTTACTGCTATCCGTTTAAACGTTTACAAAATTCAGTAAATGTTTCACCCTTAGTCATCTGAGAAAAAAATCACCCCACTACTTCAGTGCATTTTTCTGGATTTTAAAGCATTAATCAGTGGTTTTTCTTGAGTGACTGAAAGTGTCAGAATCTTTATTTTAGCAACTTTTAAGAGTACTTAAAGCATATTCAAGATTTTATTAATTTATTTTACATTTAACAATCCAAAAGACAAGCCACTATCCTTTGATTATATATTATTCTTTAGCGTACATCTGAATTATACCATGCTTAGGAATCATTATTATTGAGGCAAGACCTTTAGATTGCTATAATTTGACACACAACGAAATTGGGAATAAAAAAGAGAGCTCATTCCAAAATTCTGTATACTTCCCAAGATATGCTTTAATCTTACCTTTTTATTTCTCAACATTTCATAATTTATTAACACTTTGAAAATATTTTTATATTAGACATGTTAGATGGTCATGTGAAACAAATTATCAATACTAAATATACACAAGTGATTTTTTCGCACTTATATATCAGTGAGTGTGACTATGATGTAGTTAAAATGAATCATGTGATTGATGTGACCATGTGTCCTTCATCCCCTTATACTTACTATGAAATTCCAAAAAAAAAATAATTCATTGCTTTTATGTAATATGATATTTTATAAAAATATAATTACCTACTTTGTAGTGATTGAAAGCTTGTTTTAAGCTTAGCAAAATCTTTAACTTGCAACCAAACCATTTTGTTCAAATTTTGATTCAAAATATATTTAAAATACTATGTTCTAGTTAAAATCAATCTATCAATTTGAAATGGTTATTATATTTTAAACTGTTGGTGTGTTAATCCTCATTAGTTTTTCATCTTGTTATCAAACTCATGAACATTTATCTGCTTTAAACTTCATATGTTTTAGATAAGAGGTCATCAGTCTGATATGTATTGTGTATTTATACTTACATAATACAGCTTTATCATTTCCCAAAAATGACTGCTCAAAAAAGAGGGGTAGGGATAACATGGCTAAGGCAGCATCATTTTACTGAAGTTAAGATTAAGAAAAAGAAAAGAAATTGCTTTCATGAAAATTGGAATTTTCAGGCATTTTAAAATTTAAGTATTATTGTGTTGAATTTAACATATAAAAAATTAGCCTTAAACTATATTTTCTTTAAAAAAAAAAACAAAACCAAAAAATGTAAAATATATAAAATGCATTACTGAATAACATGTACCTTACATTTGGGTGTCATTTTTAGCGAGATGCAATTTTAAAATGTTCACTAAAGAAGCTATTACAAATAAAACGCAATTAATTTTGTTTAGAGATATTAAATTTTAGTGATCTCAGCACCTTCACTAATAATGCCAAAATTTAATCCTCATTAAAAAAATTGTTTATAGGGTATTAAAACAACTTTTCTGATCACATTTTGTTGTTGTCCATTAGCCATATCTGAACAAACTTTTCACATTTTCAACTTCTCAAAAACCACTAGATTATTTTCTGCTAATGCTTTTATAGCAGTGCAATAGCTATTCATAACAACATGTTCACTGAATAACATTGTTAAAATTTTTTTTAAATATCATGTCATATATTGCTGTTTTACTTCCAGATGGAGCTGGGGGGATTTCAAGGAGGACACCAGGGCTCCGTTTTATGCGTGGACGTCTTCGAGGACATCATTGTTTCGGGGGGAGAAAATGGAGATTTGTGCCAATGGAATAATGATGGGCACTTGATATGCAAGTACACCGAAGAAAGCACTGATTGTACCTCTGTGCTCATATCACAACTGAAAAAGGATGTCATTTATGCCGCGTTCAATGACACAGTCAAAATTTTTAATGCTGGAGAACTAACATTACCGTTGGATGCTTTCAGCTTTAATTCGGACGAAATAAACCAGATAGCTGTGGATGAAAAAGAGAAATATTTGGCTGCTAGTGATGATGCTGGAGAAATTAAGGTCATTGATTTGGGTGAGAAGAAATTGTACAAAACTCTTAAAAATAAACACACCAATATATGTGCTTCTGTGTGTTTCAGACCTAAAAAGCCATGGGAACTCTTTTCAGGAGGTCTAGATTCCAAACTGATTCACTGGGACTTTTCTCGCCATAAGTGCCTAAACATGTTTGACATGAATGAACTGAATAATCCATTTGAAACAACAGATTTGTACATGGTTAGTCCTCCCTTTGTCCATCATCTGTCCGCTAGCTCAGATGGAAAATACTTGGTGGCAGCACTGGAGAATGGCCTGATAGCAGTGTTTGACAGCACTCGAAAACACCTGAGAGAGTTGTTTAGTCTCCACACTCACACACAGGGTGTTTCTCAGGTGCATTTTATAACAGAGGACAAATTTGTTTCAGGGGGAAATGACTGTTGCATTGCATTATGGGACTTATCCAAATCCCATGATCACCCAGACCTGGTTTTACCTGCTAATGCCCACGCTGTCAATGGTACTTCTAGTGAAAACAGTATCGCACCAGATCCTTTGGAAACAAAAAACCAAACAATGACTGACATTTGTCTCATGAATAAAATTGAGCACACTGGAAAAATTAACTGGATGAAACCTTTTTACAAGGAACATTGGAAAATCATAATTGGTGATGAGTCTGATAAACTGACTATCAAGACATTAGATATACTTTAACTGTGTGAAATTGTAAATGATTTTTATATATCTGATGTGCATCCTAGCTTGAAAGTGACATGTTATAAATATATATACTTGA